CATACATACATACATACATACATACATACATACATACATACATACATACATGCCAGGGGTGGGTTTCTCGCCCCGTTCCAACCGCTAGCATGCATGCATACTAGCGTCTTCGCGACACTCCAGCTGCTCCTGGAGGATCGCGCAGGTGCTGTATGCGTCCTGTGCATGCGTGGAAGCGCAGAACTCGTCAAAACTGGGTAAGGACCGCGGGCGGGCGGGCCCTTCGCCATTCCCGGAAGTTACTTACTTCCGTGTTCGCCAACCAACCGGTTCGCAGGGACCGCCGCAAACCGGTTGAAACCCACCCCTGGCATGTATGTATGTATGTATGTATGTATGTATGTATGTATTCATTCATTCATTCATTCATTCATTCATTCATTCATTCAATTTTTATAGCTGCCAATCTCAATCAACAACACTTTATAGTTCTAAAACTATAAAAATGACTTAAAAAGCAATTAAAACTTCCAAAATAAATATACACAACAGTTGAGATAGTCAATCAGTTAACAATAAAGCCAATGAATAAGACCCTTAATACATTTAGTGCCCCCAGGCTTGGAAAACAGCCAAATTTTTAAAGCCAAGATTTTAAGCCAATAGTATGGTGCAGTGATAAAGATGTTGAATGTGGACTAGAAGACCCAGGTTCAAATCCACCCTTAGCAAGGTAACTTTGAGCCAGTTCCTCTATTATGGTTCCACATAACTTGCAAGGTTTAGCTGCAGGGAAGATCACAGAAAGGGAAGGATGGATCTAGGAAACTAACATATTAACAAACAGCAAACAGAAATCCCCTATCCCAGGCAGTCCCTTAACAAAATAAAAGGAATATTTTTTGCAAGGCATCCTGAAAGATATGGGATAGAAAGAGGGGAAATGTTGGCCTTGAGGGCAGTAATCAATAACAGGAATTCTCGCAAGGCGCTACACAACGTCAACATGTTAGGTGCCAAAAATTACATTAAAATGTTAAATGTAATGTTAACTGTTAAAATGTTAAAAGTTATAATGTTAAAAGTTAACATTATAAAATGGCGAAAGAGTTAATGCAAGGAAAATGAGAACTTGCAAGAGTAGCTTTTTTATCTACTTATTGTACATGTGGGCAGACATACATGCGTGAATACAAATAATTGTCTCCTTTTAAATCCCAATAAGTAAATGTAAATGAAAGGGTTGTTTAAACATATACGCAACAACACACAAAGACATCCTCAATTGTTCTGGCATTGTTCTGGTCTTGATTTTAAGATGTATTTTCCACCCACCTTTATATAACATTGTCCGATACTCTCTTCCTTCCCAGTAACTTATGTTCACCCGAGTGAAAACATTATACTTCTCTGGATACTGGATTTCAAACAATACTTCTGTTTCAGGTGATGGTTTATAATCGTAGATGGAAACGTTGGTTACAGGTAGAGGTCCTTTGAAAGAGAGATAAAATGAAAAGACAAAGAGTGACTTGAGATATCCAGAAAATGCTATTGAAATCCAGTGCCATTTTTACAAAGTTTTGGGACTGGTTGTGGTACTGTTCTCACCCAGGCTTCCTTAACAAGCAAGAAGCAGAGTCTTGGTCCTGGAAAAAAAACCCTTTTATTTACACGACTGTGAGTTCCTTTCATTCACAGTCCACAAGGCTTAGCAAGCAATCTTTCAGAGGGTTGTTTATCAAATACAAACCTTATCTTGTTTGGCGAGCTGCCAAATAACTAGTTCCAGACGCAGGGCAAGGCAAAACTTGGCACAGAATCTCTTATAGTTACAAACAGAACTTTTATCTCTTGACACGACCACATGAACTTATTGTTTCCTGCAAAAGCCCACTTCCCGTTCGCTCCTCTTTTGTTTCCTATGGGAGGGGCCAATCACCTCCAAGGTGTGGCTTTATTTTTAAGTCGACCCTGTTTTCTTAGTCGTTCTTGTCTTCTGGCAGCTCTGTGCATGCCCACACTGAGAATAGACTCCAGCTGTTCCTCTGCCTCACTGCTGTCTAGCTCCCTCTCTGCCTCTGACACAGAGCCCTCGTCTGAGCTTTCCTCAACCCCCAGGACCGGCCCATGTTTCTTCCCAACCTTCTCACTGTCTGAGTCTGCTGCCAGCTCTTCTGGCTGCCAGCGGGCCACAAAAGGTACCACCAGCGGAAGGGGAGAGGGGCCCTCTATGGGGAGTAAACAGACATTCCAGCTTAGTGTCTGTGGGGGAGATCAATCCCTTAAATCTATAGCTGCTATTTCCCAAGGGAAGACAAACAGTCTAGTGAGATTTTTCTAATGTAGGTGATTGTAGAAGTGGAAGAGCCTGAGGGGGAGTCAAGCAAGTCATCAGCTTAGAATCTGTACATTGCCACAAATGGTCTAAGTCAGGGGTCAGCAAATTGCGGCTCTGGAGCCGCATGTGGCTCTTTCCTCCCTCTGCTGCGGCTCCATCACCAGTCGGCACCACAATTTTGAGAGGAGCTTCCAGTGGGGGGAGCGGGGAGAGAAGCACTGTGCACCAGGAGAAGACTCTATGTCAAGGGGAGGGTTTTCCAGTTGTCTCCACAATTGACAGAGCTTTCGGTTATGACAGGTAGAGGAAAAAGTACACTGCACTAGGAGGAGACTCTATGGTGGCTCTATGGTGGGGGAACTGAACTTCCGGTCAGCTCCAGAATTGAAGAGGCGGCTTCCGATTAGGACCTTTGTGACTCCTGGTGTTTTCTGTGGGTCCAAATGGCTCTTTGAGTGTTTAAGTTTGCCGACCCCTCGTCTAGGTCCTCTTGTATTCTATTAACCATTACCTACTTTCAAAATAGTGCTAACCCTTAGATGACTAAATTCCTGTGCAGCGACGTGAACTATAAATCAATTTAATTGGAACCTTACAGTGGTCAACAATAAAATGTCTATTTGAGTGATTCTGGTTGCTTCCACCTGACAGGGACTTTTTCTTGCAATAAATAACTAACAATGATGGGTCCCATCAATTAAAAAATGTCATCTTGCATCTTTGGACCTTCCTCAAGATCTTATTGGCTCTGAAGTGGATCAGAGCTTTGAAAACATGCAAGTGTTCTTAGGCTTAGCAGGAGTTCGTATTTAACTGAGCTGCCTTCATAGGTTTTTCTAATGCTATTTATACCATATCTGAACTGTGTTTTGCATGCTAAGGAATTCCTGGAGTTGAAGTCCACAAGTCTTAAAGTTGTCAAGTTTGAACAGCCCTATTTTTTTTCCCTAAAGGGTTAGGGGTGCAAGGGTCTTCTAACTTGACAGCTTTAAGACTTGCATGCTTCAAATGCCAGAGTTTCTGAGCCAAAATTTTGGTTGCTAAGCAAGAGCGTTGTTAAGTGAGTTTCACCCCATTTTACAAGTTGCCCACCCCCACCCAGTCACATGGCTGGCAAGCCACTCGCACCTGGCCAATGGCCAGAAAACTACTCCCACCCAGTCACATGGCCGGCAAGCCACTCCCACTCAGTCACATTGCCGGCAAGCCACTCCCATTCAGTCACATGACCAGCAAGCCACTCCCACGAAGCAGGCCACACCTACAGAAGAGGTTCTAAAAAATTTTGAAACCCACCACTGGGGTGTGGACACACACGTGTGCTCACACACACACACACACACACACACACACACAATTTTGGCACACGTGGAGAAAAAGGTTAGCCATCACTGTCCTAGGCAATAAAATGAGCTTGCAAATTAAGAGTATCCTGAATGGGTACCTTCTAATGGATTTTATTTATTTTTTACATTGTTAGCACATTTTTAAACTACCCACCTACTTCACAGAGGGACTCTTAGTGGTGTACAGTAAGCTATTAAAATATAAAAATAATACATAAAAGCTAAAAATGCAAAAGGGGCAAGGATGTAGAAAACACTATTGAAAAGTAACTGAAAGTCAAAGGGAGAGGTTTCCGTAGCCCCACAATTGCATGCCCCTCTGGTTCCCCCCACCCCTTGCAAGCTAGCAGGGCCTAGTTTTCACTCCTTTCAAGAAGGCAAGGAGGCTGGGTGCCTGCTTACCGCCAGTGGGATAATATTCCACAGGGGAAATGGCAGAGATTAGGATTAGATCAAAGGATTAGGATTCAACCAGATCCTACGCAACTCTTCGGATTGGGGCAGATTTGTATGTTTAAAGCAAGCTTAGCGCCTGTGACTGAGTATGGATTTTCCAGCAGCTCGGTCATGATGGTTTCATTAGCCACATACTGTGTTTTATTCTCAAAACACATCCATATATCTGTAATGTACCTGCGGTGTTCAGAGAAGATGTACGTAGATTGTACTTAGCTATAATATGGGTTGAATCATTTTGAGCTAAACATTCTCTCTCAGCCCAGCATGCCTGGTTAGAGTATTATGGGCTTACATCCCATAAAAAGGGCCATCTTGGGCTCTTAAAGCAAAGATGAGATATCAACACAATCAATCAATAGTTAAGTAGTGCACCAATTGAAACAGCTGTTCCAAGCCTAACACCCTCCAGATGTTTATGACTAGGATTACACTGGGTGAGAATCCTGGAAGCTGCAAAATTAACTCATTGGAAAAGGTTTATTTGAGGTACAGTATTTGCCCATGTTACATACCATTATAAACCCTCCATAATCTTTGGCCAGGCACTCCAAGTAAGCCCAACCCTATCTCACCATGTTTTTCTGATGAATAAAGAACAAGAATTATTCCTGAGGAAATAATATGGGCTGAAGAAGGCTCTGCAAAAAATAGAGTCAATGATTACTCCAAAGAATGAAGAGCTGGAAAAATCAGCTCTTTGAACCTGTCTGGATAAAGGAAAGCACCAGAGATCACCCACAAGCAGGTGTGGGATTCAGTCAGTTTGGACCGGTTTGGGTGAACCAGATGTTAATTTTACATCTGGTTCCCCAAACCGGTAGTTGCAAGGACTCGCCAATAGTTGCAAGGAGGAGAATAAACATTCCTGGAGGCAAAGTAGGGTAAAAAAAGCAAGCCAATGTGAAAGCAAGGTAAGATATAGGATGAGATCTATGGATGATTTCTCCAGGGCTAAAGTGTAAAAGAATTCCTGATTACAGCCATTGCAAGAGAGCTTTGAGATTCCAGAGAGATGCTGCTGGCCACACGCTACTAGCCAAGCAAATCTTTCATTACTTTCTGCCTTGCACAGCTTTCCCAAGCTATAATAATCCCATCCCAATCTTCTAATTATGGCAACTTTATAGACTAAGTGATTACATTAGCCGGTTACTTCTTCCTAGAAGAAATTGAATAAGGAAGAGATGCTGTATTCATTTTTATTACAAATTTATTTTGTGCCTGATCTCTTGATCGGATTAGCTGATAATTAGATTCAGCCAAAGGCCTTGTAAATTGCCTCTTTCCTGCCATTTTCCTTCTGAGAGCCAGCAAATCAGGATGAGCCAAAGGAAGAGACTGAGAAGAAAGTATAGTGGGGGGGGGGATTCTTCTCTGCTAAAGCCTACATTATCTTAAGAAGGGGAAGAGAAACAATAGCAATAGTAATAGCAGTTAGACTTATATACCGCTTCATAGGGCTTTCAGCCCTCTCTAAGCGGTTTACAGAGTCAGCATATCGCCCCCACAGTCTNTGTCATCAGCGCGCCGACAACAGCGTGCCGACAACAGCGCGATTTAAGGTTAGGGTTAGGGTTACAGCGCGCTTCTGTCCGCGCTTTTGTCGGCGCGCTTCAGTGCTCATTCGTCGGCACGCTTTAGAACTCACGGTTTTGTCACCGCGGTTTAGTCAGGCGCGCTTTTGTCGTTCGCGCTTTTGTGGGTGAACCAGGAATTGAATATCTGCCTTAATATCAAAGTTACTATAGTATTTGTAGTAACTATCCAAGGCAAGAAGGTTTTGAATTTGCCAGGACTATGTTGTTAGTTCAGCTTCACATTGATGAGTTTCAATTCTGTAAAGTATCAGGCCAACACAGCAGAAAGAGCAGTCCTATTGGTGAACTTTGACATAAATATTTCCTTGGATGACATTGGTAAGACTACTAACTAAATTCTTTCATCACTATAAAGCTAATATATTTGCTGTGATACTTTTGGCAAGAAATTACAGGTTTTCCTTACTTTATGGAATTAGCTATATGTGAATTCACAACAATGCAATTTATCATATATTGCAGGTAGTCCTTGACTTAAAACCATTTGTTCAGTAACGTGTTCAAAATTATGATGGCACCGAATGAAAACTGGTTACCATTGGTCCTTGATGTTCTGACCATCTCAGTAACCCTGTAGTCACATGATTACAATCTGGGACCTTGGCAACCTGGTCTTACTAATGAGCAGTTGCCAAGCACCCTGAAATCATATGATTGCTATTTGTTACATTCCATACCTGCTTTCCCAGAAAGTAAAGGGAAAGCCGACAGAGGAGATTGCAAGTGGCTGAGATGTGTCTCCTTTCACCAGTGCACCCTCTCCCTGCTCTTCTGCACGTGCCATGCCAGCTGCTCAGTCACTGGTACCCTCCCCAATTTGCATGGACTCTCCCTGAGCCACACTTCTTACATATCTTCCACAACCTGTGCCCATCCCTCAAACCTCCCTGCATACCTTCCCCAACCCATGCGGCACCTCTCATATGCCTTCATAGACCCTCCCTGCTATGAATCTACTGTGTGCAACATAACAAAGAATTCACACCACTATGATGCATTCTCTAAGTCTGTCTGCCATGGTAACCACTTGCATTAAAAATTAATTGTAGAAAAAATGGAGAAAATGTTTCCATTGTATGTAGAACACAAGGAAGAAAATATATTTGGATAACATAGTACTTAAAAATAGTATCCTAAAGATGTATGAGTACTTTTCTCAATGCATTTAGATGATGAAATTTAACACTGTCCCCTGTAATCCTCTTTACCCCACTGACGGAGTATTTCACTTCATGTGAATTCATTTAATGGGCAGTTTTTGGAGAATGTCACTCAAGCATAATATAAAGGAAGACTCTGCTATATTACCTGTCCCAGAACCGTGAGGTTCTTTTTTCTCCTCAGAATAATGTACAATCTTTTTACAGGATATAGTTTCACAAGAAGATGATTATCATGTTTAACATGATTATTGCTTTTGTTGGACATAGGAAGAACAAAAGGAAACACTTAGAAAATGTAGTTTCTAGAGAAAAAATATAGGTCCTTTCCTACTGTGTTTGATTTATCTGTTCCCTTCCCGAGTTTCAGATCAGTTTAGGATGCTACAGAATATGTTTTCAAAAGTTCTTTAACATTTTTGTAACTGATTATCCCTCATGATGGGGAAAGGCCTACTTTCTTTAATAGCTGAGACTGGAAATAAGTACTTCATCAATGTAAATGAAGGGCGGGGTAACTTTAGGATGTAAATCCATCTCCAAGGAGAAGGAACACTGAGAGCAATTCCAGTGTTCCATTTTAGACCACTGTTCTTACAGAATTTTGTTGCATCTGAGTCTGAAGCTCATATGGCCTAATCCAGGTTAGGACTTGGAAGCTTATTGTGATTGAATCCCAGCATTTATGTCTTAAATAGACATGAACAGTAAGTTTTATGCAAGAATTTCAGAACACTACATTTTGATCTGTTTTTCAGTTTACAGAATAAGCATTTAGTAAACAAATTGAGAAAGAGTGCAGTAGAATAAGATCCCTCCCTTGTTTAAAATTACATTATTCAATCACATTTAGTTTTTGTTTTTATGCACATATAATATTCAGAAGGGGCTTCTAACATTNCGGAGTTATTATTATTAATAATATTATTAATAGTTATTATTATTATTATTATTATTATTATTTTAATGGATTTATAGGCCGCCCAATCCAGGAGGACTCCGGGCGGCTTACAAAACAAAAGAAAGTAATTAGTAAAACATAAAAGAAAACAATTTAAAACATCATGCACCCAATCTAGGCGGGGCTGAACCTCAGTAATGAGGTCAACAGCCCCAAGCCTGCCGGAATAGCCAGGTTTTAACGGCTTTTCGGAAGGCCATGAGAGTGGGTAAGGTCCGGATCTCTGGGGGTAGTTCATTCCATAGGGTCGGAGCCACAGAGAAGGCCCTCCTCCGGGGAGCCGCCAACCGACACTGCCTGGCTGATGGCACCTGAAGGAGGCCCACCCTGTGCGATCTCACCGGCCGTTGGGAGGTATGCGGCAATAGGCGGTCTCGCAGGTATCCTGGTCCTAAGCCATGTAAGGCTTTAAAGGTAATGACTTATAGTGTCATGTATCAGAAGCATTGGAGCTATGTTTTTTTGAACAATATGAATTGAGTTTTTTAAGTGAACTCTCATAGTAGGCTAAAGGACAGCACTCCGTCAAGTAATGTTTTGTACTTTTAATTCATATGCTTCCCTTAGATTTCAGTGGTGAAAACAGAGCAAATTAGAAAGCTTTGTTCTTTCTTCAATAATCAGTATTGGAAATCCCCTCATGATTCATTCTTAGGAGCAAAAGCATTCTTAGAATAAATTGAGAAATAGTGACAAAATTCATTTTTATGGCAATAAGGATGTTGATAAGCTGAGAAGAAGCCATCTTATCAACTCTGTGTGTAAGTTCTAAGAGCAGCTTCCACTCACACCTCTTAGGAGCTTGAAGTTTTATATGCATAGAAAAAGAAGAAAGGGGCCAAATTAAGGGAGCCTTGATATAGCTGTAAAAACTATTACAGAAAGAGTACCAAGGTCCAGATACATTTTTGCATACTAACCAAGTCTATTATTCCACAGCTTATTGGCTAATTATTTATTCATGCACTCATCAACTATATGGCACTGTTAGATGTCTAAAGAATAGTTTAGAGTTAGAGTAACTCCTAACAAGCTTTTTTAGTATTACAATTATTTTACAGTTAATGCTAATAAGCCTCTTATGGTTAAATTGAATTAATAATATATTTAATTTTCATCTCCATCTCGACCCTGCCAATGTTTATGTCTTCTGAAAACACAGCTGGGGCACAAGAAAGAAACTGTGCAGAAGCTTTATTAATTTCAGTGCTTTTTTGATATTTTCTTCCATTGCTCGGTTATAGTATTCTTCCTGATGCAAGCAGCTCAGGATGTCACAGATTTTTTATGTCAGTCCCCCATAATTCTCTGACACTATTGTGTGATCAGTTAAGCATGGCCATTTCTGTCTTTTCTGTAATAGAGAATCTTTGCAATTTTGTGCCGCAAACCTTTACACCAAAGTGAGAATAAATAGCATGTTGTGTAAGGAATTGACGTGACCCGACAAAAGCGCGAACGACTAAACCGCGTCGCTAAAACCCCGATGTCATCAGCGCGCCGACAACAGCGTGCCGACAACAGCGCGATTTAAGGTTAGGGTTAGGGTTACAGCGAGCTTCTGTCCGCGCTTTTGTCGGGTGACGTCAATTCCTTACACAACATGCTATTTATTCTCACTTTGGTGTAAAGGTTTGCGGCACAAAATTGCAAAGATTCTCTATTACAGAAAAGACAGAAATGGCCATACTTAACTGATCACACAAT